AACCATCATCATCCTCAGCACCCCCACCATCCTCATCCTCAGCACCCACATCATCCTCGGCCTTACTTCCTGTTACGCTTGCATTCAGGACTCCTAGAGCAAAGTTTCAGGATCTTCCATGTCTGTGTTGAAAAGTCATGATTTCAAAGGTTTAATTTCAGGACTAAATTTAATCTCAAGATCTAAGCTCTATTTACTGTTAAATATTTTTATATTTTTTTCTTACAAGTTCTCACATTGAAGAAATGTGAGACAAATGACCGGAATAACACTTTGTTGTAGTTGAGCGGAGTGTGAGTTGGAGAAGGAACCCACACACAGGAGAAACTAAAGCAACAGGCTCACACTGCAGCTTGGGCCTCCATGGGCTGCGGCATCTCCGACCTTTGCAGAACACTTAAAAACAGCAATCTATTGGTGGTGGACGCCTTTAATCCCAGCACTTGGGAGGCAGAGACAGGCAGATTTCTGAGTTCGAGGCCAGCCTGGTCTACAGAGTGAGTTCCAGGACAGCCCAGGCTACACAGAGAAACCCTGTCTCGAAAAACCAAACCAAAAAAAAAGGAAAAAGAAACAGCAATCTAACTGCAGAACATGGAGGCCCAGAGAATATGCAAACACAGGAATATTTCAAACGTTGACATGATAAAACAAAATAGGACCAAAATGGAAAAAAAATACAAGCTCTTAACAAACAAATTAGAGTGGAAATTTCCATGCAGTATACATGACAATATGTTTAATATGCTTAAGATATAAAGAGTTCATGATAAGAAGAAACATGCTAGGCTACTAGAAAATTTAAGCAAATGTGGAGCACAAGAGAAAATTTGTAATACCCATGAAGTCCATGAAAACAATTCCATATCCAGTGATTAAAAAATGCAGGCTAATACTTTAAGGTTGACAAACATAAAGAATGTTAATGCCTAGACCTGGTGTTATCAGAGTACGATAAATAAGTATGTGGTTTCATTTGTATTTTTGAGACAAGATTCACTTTATAGCCCAGACTGGCATGGGAATGCCTTTCCTCCTGCTGGTCTGAATCTGATTCCAGGTGGAGACACCATCTCAAGCTTCACTGTATGTGTCTGTGTGTCTGTACAGAAAGACCATAAACTAGCTGGAGTAATATCTGTACACTAATATCAGCTATCACCTGCAGAGACAAAATTCTGATTTGGGATTTTAGTTTTCTTTTTGTATTTTGGAAAACCCTCTGATTTTGATCAGTGGCCATGTTTTTAAATTCAAAAGAAAGCATTTTTCATTCTGAGGAAAGAAATAACATAGCTTGAGCTGACCTACAAATGGAATGGCTTCAAAATAACTGAAAGTTAGTGAAACCGGAGTAGGTAATGAGTCATGGGTATGAGGAATGGGAGGGGCCACTGAGGAATGGGAGGGGCCACTGAGGAATGGGAGGGGCCACTGAGGAATGGGAAGGGCCATTCAAGGGAGAAGCCTTGCAGAGGGAGAATCATCAAAGATTGGCAAGACAAGGGGTTGGACCTGAAGATGAGGAATGGAATCTTGGAAGGGACGTGACACTATAGAATGGACATGTGATTTGTTCTGGGGCTAGACTGTCTTAACTAAAAGCGGCCTATCTGTGCCTTGCAAAATTAAAGAAATAATAGCATCTTCTTCATGGGCATGTTGTAGATAAGCATAGATGCCATACCTGACTGCACAGCTCAGAGCTCTCATCCAGTGAGTACTTGATGATGTTCACATTCACTGAGAGGATGACAGGAGCAAGAGTAGGCCTAGGAGGCAAGCTGGCTCTGTTTATTTTGTGTGTGGGTGCAGTGTGTGTGCCATAGCACACATGCATGTGGATGTCAGAGGACATCTTGCAGGAGTTAGTTCTCTTCTTGTATTATGGGGTTATGGGGATCAAACTTGAATGCCCTGGCTTCGCAGTGGGCAGTGAGCACCCGTCCTTACCTACTGAGCCATCTCACAAGTTCTGCATTTAATTTTTGAGAAAGTCATGTTGAGCCAGGTTGAGGACTCAGTAGTGGGAAATATGTTTTAGCATGGAAGAGCAATAAAGGATGTGAAAAAATAGTACTTAGGTTGCTTCAGTCACATAAAGGTGACAGGAAAGGGTGGTTGTCATCCAAGGAGAAAGAATACAACAGCATGACTGGAGAGGCTGAGGGAAGACTGAAGGAGCTCTTGACCCTTAGGGTCGGGAGAAGGAAGATACAGAGCAAAGGATGAGAAAGAGGTAGGAAAGTGAAGAAAGAACTGAAGGGAATGTGTTATCTTCATGAAGGTCTGAGGCATGCAGAAAGAGAAAATAGAAGAGTGATTCAGAGCCCCACATTCTTTATATGGAGACCATGCAGGGTCTCAGGAAGAGGTGAGAAGGCCTTACAGCAAGGAGACCTAAGAGACAGAAACTAAGGTGACAGAGTTTTTGTGTCAGGTAGAATTTTAGAGCATGACAGTCGGGGGAGAAAGAAGGTCACAACAGGCCTGTGGGCCTCTGTGGGTCTTTCAAACTAAGGAGGGTAATGGACATTAGATAAAGGCACTGTCTTTGCAACCCTCCACTTAGTTAATTCACAAGTTGTCTGATACTTCCTATACCCCACAAAATGCATCCTAGTGCTCTCGGTGTGTCTGATGCCCAGACACACCTCCTTCTGCCATGCCTTGCTGCTTCTTTCAATTGGCTGCCCAGTGCTCAGTTCAGATCAGATCATGGACTTGCCCTGTAGAGGTTACATGGTCAGCTTAACTCCTTTACCGTGAACCAAAGGAGCTGGAGAAATGGCTTAGTAGTCAAGAGCTCTTGACACTCTTGCAAAGGACTTGGTTTTGGTTCCCAGGAACTAAATCCAGGGGATTTAAAATAACCCATGACTCAAGTTTAAGAGTATTCAATGCCATCTTCTGGTATCTGTAGGCACCTGCACACACATATATAGCGCACATATATACACTTAGGCACACATGTACATATACATAAAATAAGTAATTTTTTGAAAATAGACCAAAATAAATACATATATACTTAGCATTGATACTTAATTTTTCTTATAGATCATTAATTGTAAATAGGATGCAAGAAATGGCATCTTAAAAACAACAAAGGGTTTATCTGTATCTACTTTCTGGAAAGGGGGGTTTTGAATGCATAGCTAGCCTTTCTTGGCCTCCCTTTATCTCCTCTGTCTATCTGGTCTGAGTGTGTGATTGCCTCCAGATCCTCCTTCAAGGTTCAGCGTACATTCTAAATGAACCCCCGTCTGCCTTTAAATACAGCCTTCCTGTCTGACTCAGTAGGTAGATTTCTAGTTAAAGTTATACTATGCTGCTTTTAGATTTATAAAATGTTTGTGGATATTAGACAGTTTGGGGCTTTTTGGGTATTTTTCAAGTTTGAGAGAAACAGCATATTGTAATGCAGTCAGCACATATCAGCGTTCACTTGGGTTTCCGCCACACCTTATGAAACCCTGAGTGATATCTTCATGATCAGTAGAGTGAAGAGGAAGAGGAAGAGGGTGCGTGTTCCATGTGCAAGGCACAGTCTCTGTCCCACCTGCTTCATCTCATTTCCCTTAGCTTTGACCTTTCACTCTTGAACTTGGGTAAAATAATAAAGACATGTTATTTTATATAATATCTATTGAAGATTCACTTGTAATTTGCACTTAAGAAAAATGTAATTTTTCTTCTCTATTATAGATTATAAGTTCTATAGCATCTCAATGCTGATATTTTTTAAACTCAGACTTCAAGAAGGTATAGTATACAAAGCCACAGTGGAAAAGATAGAAAGCATCTCAGATAGCTGCAGCCACATTGCCCAATTCCTGATCACTAACGTTTATTCTGGTCCACTTGTTGCCCATGGACCTTTGGAACATTTGTAGCTAAGAGACTGGAGCCTGCCACATACCTACTGAGTGGGCTGGTTCCCTTGTCTGTACGGTCCAGGGCTAAT